TTTTTTTTTTTTTTTTTTTTTTTTTTTTTTTTTTTTTTTTTTCTTTTTTTTTTTTTTTCCCCCCCCTTTTTTTTTTTTTTTTTTTTTTCCTCCCATCTGAGTGAAACACAAGTGCTCTGCTTTAAATAGCACTTCTCCCAAACACTTCACTTTGCATTCCCAGCCTGCAAGTCAGGCAGGAGAAATCATTTGCCTCATAAAAAATAATTGCACGGAGATGAAGGTATCTGTGTACAGCGTGGTTTTCATGCCAACCACCTGCAACATCTTCACTCCCTTGCATTGAGGATTTCATCAATAACTGCAGGAAAAAGAAGGAAAACGTGGAATGACCCAGTTTGCCCTTTTCTCCCTGCGGGATGGGAGAATTTGGGGGTAGGAGAGGGCTGTAAAAACCATTTGAATGTGATTTGATTCATTTCAATGTTGGACTCGGGGAATGTGCTGAGAGGTTGAACTCGTGATGATTTAGGGATGGATGGGATGCAGAGAATATGGGATGATCACAGGGTTTCTTTAGCTGGCAGTAATTCCCTACAGGGAATTCTGTTCCTGCTGGGATAGCCATGGCCTGTCCCACCAGCAGCTGAAATGCTCAGAGAGGTGAATTTACTAAAATATTGAAGCAATTGCAGTAATTTCTGGCACGTGGAATCATAAAATGATCATGTCTTGGTTAGATCCTTGTTGCCCTTTTCATGTTTTAAATGTCCAGCTCTCCTGGAGGTAATTCCTGCAGAGCTGTGAAGTTTCCACCTGTTTTATTTTCCTTTTTTGAGGTTCTTTATGACCTTCCCTCCTCATCTTTCATCCCCGTCCCATGTACATGCAGGAAATAGATCTGGTTTGAATTCAAATGATCAATATTTTATTTACAAGGGTTTGTTGGGGTTTTTTTTCCCCTTGTTTTTATCAAAGTCCCATAAATACATTGCCAGAGGAACTTCAGCACTGCATGGACTGGCTGATTTTATCAGACAGCTGAGTGCTTCTGAAAGTATTAAACAAACTGCATGACTGAGAAACCAGACCCTGGTGGTGTTGATTTAAAGCCTGAGCACCACATAAAGTGATGGCTTTAAAATATAACTCAGCCCTGAAATGGTGAGGGGAGAGTTGGAAGCAGAGCATTCCCACTCATCAGTGGGAACTTCTCCCTTTTGTGCTCCTGCTATGAGAAGTGTCAGTGCTGATCACATCACAGCTGCACCAGCACAGGGACAGATTTGCTGCTCATAAAGCCATTTTTTAATCCTTTTTTTTTATTTACAAACTGAGGGTGGAACTTGGATCCAGATCCTCTTGAAGAACACGGGGTCAGACTTTAGGAGAGGTGCAAATGAACCCATTCCCAAAATGACCAAAATTTCGGGAAACTCTTAATTAAAACCATGGGCAGTGTAAGGAAAAATAGCTAAAAATGGTTTTCAGAGCTTTCCTTGCCTTTGAATTCCTTCAGAGCAGGGAGCCAGGGTTGGGAAGTGAGATTTGTGTTGCTCAGGATGTGGGTCCCTAATTTCCACAAGGACAACTGAGACACACCAAGGCCCAGATTAATTACCAGCACTTAATGACACCACCACACACACAGAATAAACGAAGAGTGCATTTCTGAGAGACAAGTGGGTGTTCTAGAGGAGGTGATTCCTGGGAATAGGTTTTCCTAACTACATCTGGAAGCTAATTGCACTTAGAAATTGAGGCAGAGCCCACCTCTGATTCTCCTTAATTACATTTCGTGGGAGGTGCCAAAGTATAAAAGTCACCAAAGGAGTCCAGTTTTTACCTCCATCCTTTGCTGGCAACCAGCACTGGAGTTAACTGGGCTGAGGAAAAAAACATCTTCCTTTGGAAGAAGGAATCACAGTAGCCATCCCAAAGCCCTTCATTCTGGAATCTGGAACAGCCTGAGCGATGTCTGTTGTACCATTTGTTTGGTGGGGAATTTTTTTTTTATGTCTTTTTTTTCTTTTTTTTTTCTTTTTTTTTTTAATGTTTATTTGTTTCAGCTGGCATATTTGAAAGGCACTTGGCTCCTCGGGGTAATAATCATTTTACATATGCTTTATAGAGTGTGTTTATTACCAGACAATTGAGGAGCAGATGTCTGCAGTCTCGAGGCTGGAGGGGGAGGAAGGGGAAGGGTGGGAGATGCAGGGGATGGATGGTGGTGCTGAGGCAAGAGCAGCAGCCAGGAGGGTTTCCATTCATCACCATCAGCCACACTTCATTAGGATCAAGCAGCAATTAAAAGGGCTGGAGGATGGAGGAGAAAGCCAAGTGCTCGTTGGTCGGGAAGGAAGAGTCACATCCCAGCAGGACGTGGCTTTGGGGAGGAGCAGTGCAATTGTCCTGGCACCTTTTGGGTCTCCACGGGGTCTGGTGGCATCTCCCCTCTGCCAGGTGGGATGTGCCAGTGGCGTCCTGAGAGTCTGGAGAGAAAGAGAAAAACGAAGAATTGGTGTGTTGGGGTAGGAAAAATCCCACAGGGATGGAGGAGAAGCAGAATTCCCGATTTGCCACGTCTGACCTTGTTTGGGATGCAGAGACTGAGGCTGAAGTCTCTGGGGTGTGTCCAGGGCACTGCAAAGTTTTCTGCCTCTTGTTGTTTGGGATTGATGGGAGTGGGGGGAAGAGAGCAGCAGCAGCTTGCCATTCTCATTTAAAATAAAACGCTCCTTTTTTTATTTATTCCTTTTTCCATCACTGAAAGCAATGGGCTTCTCACTTGAAAGCAAATTTGGATTGAACTGTTTCTTCCCATTATTTTAATGCAAATCAAAGAGGGATTATTCTGTTATTAAATTAAAAAAATCCTTTAGGGACTAGTCAGAGAGGGTGCTGATGGACTTTTGCTGCCTGTTGATATCAGAATGTTCCTCTCCACTGGTGGCTCTGAGCTGCTGATGGAGAAAAGTTCCAGGTCCCAGGAATTCTCTGTCCTTGGCAGGGGAGTGCACAAGGTGCAGGACATGTGCCTCCAGCCAGGTGCACGAGCAGAGCAGGGATGTTTTTTGGGAATAATCCTGTCAAGCTGCTGTTGAATTCAGGATATGTCAAGATAAAAGGTGCTGGATGTAGAATTTAAATGCTGCTTATTTTGAAAATGTTGGGAAGGGACAGCAAAGTTGTCATGGACATCAAAATTTTTTGGTCTTCGAGCATCAGCTGCTGCTGATGTTAAAAACTACATCACTAGACTGATCTAAAACTCAGTTTATAACTCAGAGCCCCTGTGTATCTCACCAGTAACCCCTTTCAGTATAATAATAATAATCATCATCTCATTTTATTTTAAAATATGCTGTAATATCTCGTAGCTACACACTATAAAATTAATACTTGATAATATAGGGACTGTGGGTTTAGGGAAGCAAAAGGAGTGTGAAAATTAGATGAGTTTGTAACATTTAAACTATGCTAAATCACAGCAAATAGGTTAAGAAAAATATGTGGCATTTTGAAGTCTAAGGGTTATTTATTGTTAGTGAAGTAGACGGAAAATGTCAAGTCCTCCTGTGGCACAAATAGTGCTAAATAATGAGAGCTGATGCCTTCAGCTTTCTGAATCAAACCTAAAATACTTGATTTCAGAGAAATCAATAAGGCTGACAAGCTGGGAGAGGGGAGTTAGAACGCTGACTACCTGAAGTTTGTGTTTGAGGCTGAGTAATGTGCAGAGGATCAGGGCAAATATTAAAAAAAAAAAAAAACAAAACAGAGGTGCTGTTAAGTGCA